GGCATATAATATAATTCATCAGCGTGTAAGACTAGCACACATAGTCTTAAAAAATTTTAAATTAAATTATTGATCAATGGAATTTTATAAAATATTTATCAGGTTATAACATGATTAAATAGGGTATTTATTTACTTTTTCCTTCTTAAACTGTGACTAATTTATAACATATTAAAAATACTCCGCATCTTGTCCCTTAATTTTTGTTAATGTGACGATTGGAAAATAATTACTAATTATTAATGATGTGATCATTTGATTCCATATTTTCTTCTATCGTTAGTTATTAAAAATAATTTTTTTTTATAAACAACAACTTAAATTACGAGGAGCACAAGAGATACTCAACCTTTAATATAAGTGGATAAAACAAGAGTAGGCCTAAAAGCCCACCACCTTACATCAAAGTTTTACAATTGAGAATATGCCTCAGATTAATCTTCCAATTTTTCCTCAAAATGAAATTATTGTTTCTAAAGTTCACCTTATATCATTGCTGAGTTAACATTTTGATCCTACTCAAGAAATTTCAATTGTTCAAAAGTCCTCCTTGAAACATAATGATGTTTTGATCCATCTATAAAGACCAACATATTGTTGACCAAAAGAGAAATAAATCGGGCTTTTAAACCATTTATCCATCTAAATGCAAAAGTGAATGACATGTTTAGCTAAGGAATCACTTCTTGCCACCACCTCACTGCCTAATCACGAACTCAAACCTTGTCAATCCTTTTGGAAAACAGAACACTCCAAGAAAAGATGAACTTCATCTCCCTCATGTAAGAAACAAAAGGGACAGACATAATTATGAACACCCTTTATGATTTAATGCTTGATCAATTGAGACCTAGTTGGCAAGCAATTAAGCAATAATCTCCAACAAAAAAAAAACTTGGTATTTACTAGGAATTTTCGTTTTAAATGTTTTCCAGTCCTTCTAACCACTTTTCAATCGGCTTTAAGACCTCTCCCATGGACAAGTAACACATTAAGCAACTATTACTGATCGAAAAGCCACACATATCCCTCCATCACTTGAAGGTATCCTCTACATCAAAAGCTAGAAAAATTTGAGCAAGAATTTGCAACAACTCCTCTAATTGATTTGATTCTTCTAGGTCCTCCTTCAAAAGAGCTATGCTCGAATCCCACTTTCCATTAGACAATAATCTCATGTTTGCAACTCTTGCACTCTTTAAAACTGAGATCTTAAATACTGCACGGAAAAGCTTACTCAACAAATCATTACCACACCCAAAAGAATTCCAAAAGTTGATAGCATCTCCATTACCAACTATGCAGCTAACTAACTTAGAGAACCAATTGTCTTTTACCGCAGAGTTAAAACCTAAACCCATAAAATCTCTCCACCATAAAGATGTTAGAACAAGATTTATTCATGACATATATTCTTTGAGTTTTGATGATAACAAAGTATTTAAAGAACAACGTTTATATTTGATGTGTGTTTCTTGTATGCAGGTTCTAATACTTGTAAATATTTAGATACAGAGTCTGATATATAAAGACACACTTGAGAGAAGCTGAATTGCTAGCTTCTGGTGGTGCAGAATTTGAAGAACACTTACTAAGTGATGTCTGACGTAGACTCTGAAGATGAAGACCTCAACATCAGAAGAAGAAACATAATTGTCTCTACACTTGGTAAATGTAAATTGGCTTCTAGTATCGTTCAGAGTTGGTGATAAAGCTGAAGCTCTCCGTACTGCATAAAGCAATCTGCAATGTCAAATCATTTTGTCAGTTGGAGTCTGAGTGCATAAGGCTCAAGAAGGTTGATATGTTTTACAGATATCTACTTTCAACGGCTCTATAGTACAAGATCTTTTTGAAGACTCAATGGTTAAACATGTTACACAATGGATCAACATCTTTTGGTGTATCTATCTTCAAAGGCTCTTGTACTATGGAGTAAAGCAAAGACACTGATCAACTTATCTCGTCCAACGACTAGTCTGGTGCAACTGCTATATAAGTGACTAAAGGTTCAAACTGAATCTTCAACAAGGATTAACTAGAAGAATGAGTAACAAGATCACCAATTATCAACTCTATCGTGTATGCAAATTTTTGATTGTAGGTTGTAATTATAAAAGCCTTAATATTTCATACACATTGAATATATTAGAAATCTTAAGAGCATTAGGTTTTTGTTATGGTGACTTCTCGTACCTCTGATAATAATATCAAGTACACCTTGTTCTCTATTCTTCTAAATTTTCTTAGCAGTTTAGATTGAGTCCCTCGCCAAGATGCTTGAGCAATGTAAGTCTCTTGTTATGTGCTTGAGTAATGAAAGTCTTAATCAAGTGGATTAATTGAGCATAAGTCTTGTATCATTGGGATACAAGCAAGGAAGTCTCTCGCCAAGATGCTTGAGCCATGTAAGTCTCATGTTATGTGCTTAAGAAATGAAAGTCTTAATCAAGTAGATTGATTGAGCAAGGTTTCTTGGTTCATGAAATTTGGAGCGTAAGTCTAGAAACCTGATGGGTTTAAGAAGGGAGGCTCGTTTCATAGAACTTGGAGCAGAAGTCTTAGGCCAGTGTGGCTTGAGCAAGTTAGCTCGGTTCATGAAATTTGGAGCGTAAGTCTCGAACCTGAGGGGTTCATGCAGAGAGGCTCGTCTCATGGAACTTGGAGCAGAGGTCTTGAGTCTGTAGGACTTGAGCAAGAAGTCTTAGACCTAGGGTCTCAGCAATGTAAAAGACTTATGAAGAATGCATAAGCGATTGTAATTAGAATTTGGTTATAGTAAAAGTCTCTTGTGAAGCAAGGGGACTGAACTACTCTCAGTTGAGAGAAACCAGTATAAATCTTTGTATTTTTTGTTATTATTTATTTGCTTCTGTTAACATCCACTGCTAAGTATAATCAGAATCTAAACACCAGTTCAGATTTTGAACTCTGATCAGATGCAGAACTAAGAAATATAGAAAACCCAATTCAACTCCCTCATTCTTGTGTACTTTTCTCACATTTAAAGGAGTCTTTTCATGTCGTCTTATATAATATCCATTTAGTGTTAGGTCATATGGTCGAGCTGGTCTCCCAACGTAGGGTGTGTTGGTCTTGAAGTTAGGGCCCTCACCTTTTTCTTTTTATGAAGGGCTTGTCTTACCTCGTTTCAAGTATTCAAAAGTTCGACCAATTATTATGAGTATTGTCTATGATATTAGATGGCTCTTATCTATAAGGTATATCTCATTGGTCTCATATGTCATTTTGTCAAAATAGACCTACCAATACAGAATCCTCCAAGCACGAGAGATGTAAGACAAGATAAAGTGAAAAAAACCTATTGAGTGAAAAAAAACATAATATTATAGAATCTCTCAAATATGAAGCACCTAAGATAAAGTGTTTTGAATGAAAGACCATGACATGACATTAGATATTGTTGAGCTTGAGGTAGTGTTTGATCTATAATTGTGCTATCTTTGTATTTTCTTAATTATGAGTTGTATTCTTGTATAAGTTGGATTGATACATGTGTAAATATTTGAATATTTTTTCTTTTCTTAACATAACTTATGTTGTGAAGAATTTTTATTGAATTATTGTTTTTAGTTTTTTTAGAAGAACATTATATTATGAATTTTGTCAAATCATACCGTGGATCATTTTATTTTATTTTTTAAATTTGTACATATATAGGTGAACACAAGTTATATTTATTGAGCAATGGATTGTATTATTATTGTTCAACAGTTTTATATCCGTTGTGATTAATGGTATTCTTACATTGGAGTTTCAAGTGAGAAGAGGATTGAGGCAGAAGAACTCCATTTCCCATTCTTATTTCTCATAGCACCATAAAGTCTAGCAGGGTTGGTCCATAAAGCTTCTAGCCAAAGAGAGTTCCTAGGGTTCCATCTCATTGAAGACATTGATTTTGAGTTTTTGCAATTTGTAGATGATATCATAATGTTGTGTCATGGATCATGAAATAGTCAATGGAGTCTTAAACTCATATTAAAGGGATTTTAAATGGCATCAGGCTTTTTTGTGAATTTTTCAAAAAGTAAGATCTTTGGAACAAATTTGAAAGAAGATTTCATGATAGCAACCTCGACATTTCATTCATGGGACATTATAAGCATTCCTTTCAATTTCCTATGTGTTAGTGTTAGGGTCAACCCAAGAAGTAAGGAAGCTTAGAATCCTATAATGGATAAAATGCGAAAAAGATTAACTTTGTGGAAGGGTAGACAAATGTCAATAGGAGGTAGAATTGTCATTTTAAATGTCGTACTGTCAAATATGTTGGGGGAGATTTTCATTAGGGAGCATTAAACACCTTGAAACTTTTTTTTTATAGAGAAAAATCTTTGTGAGGGACACACCACATACTTACCTAAAACTTTACGGTGATACCTCAAGTGTGAATGTATCACAATACTTTCATAATACTCCCCCTTAAATGAAATTATAAAAAGCCATTGTACTTCATCATGCTTGACATAGAATAACTATAAGTTAACATTCTGAAAAGAAAAAAAAAAAATACTATAACCTTACATACACTCATTAACTTTGTTTAATAAAAATTAGTTACAACAAAAAATAAACAAAAAAAAGTGCACGAGAAATTCAAATTCACATGAACACGTTCATTTCCTTCCTGCCCCCACCCCCACACATGACATTGCTGGAGAAAGATATAAGGGCAGTTTAGGGATTATAAAAAGAAATGAAGGATATAATCGTCATTGAGAAACGATCACAATAATTTCGCCTGAAGACCAATTCTCCATCCACCACCATCTCTGACCCACCCAAGCAACAAACTAATAACAACAATCTTATATATATAATCACACTCTTTCTCCACACTCTTCCTCTCTCATTTCACCACTTCTAACCGCCACAACAATAACAACAACAACTTTCCCTCGATTCTCAACTCCACGTGTCACTCCTCTATTCGCCTATTTTCATCTTTCACCATATACAACAATTCCCTCTAATTCACAATGAACATGCCTAACTTGGGAAGAAAAAGAAAAACTACTGAAACATTTCACCATAATAAACCTCCGTTCAAAAGATTCACCTTCATCAACATGGTGGAGGAATGCCACTCCACCCTCACTTCCGATGAAGAATCATTCCCATGTTCTTGCTCCGGTAACATCATTACCAAATTCGAAGAATCTCCAGAGGTAATCATTTTTACACCGTCCATCAACTAATGTGCTTTTATTCACTTATACATAATAAAAATGTAACGGTTTTCAGGTTCAGAGTCTAGAGCAAGATGAAACGTCCACGTGCCACGACCAAGTTATAAGGTTTTTTTCAATCATAATTAAATATTCAATTCAGTTTTTTTTATTTGTGCTTTTTTCAAATTTAAAAAATAAATAACTGAATTAATTTTGAATTTGAAATGAACATTGTGTGAGTAAATAAATGTGGATGATATGAATATGAATTATGTAACTCCCTCACATGCACGTATAAGTAATGTTCATTATTTCTAAGAACCCAAACATTCTTCCAGAAGAAGAGAGATGAGTCTGTTAAACGAGGAGGAAGAGGTTGATTCTATAGAGAAGAAACCGCAAAAGATGCCGTCGGAAACTGAACTTGACGAATTCTTCTCCGCCGCTGAAAAAAATATCCAGAAACAGTTTGAAAACAAGTAAGATCAAAACAGTATTGTTATTTTCATGAATTCAAAAACTATATTTATCCTCACCATAATATTACACAACCAATCTATCTATACCATATAATTGAAAATAGTAGCTTCATAAGCAAATATTATTTTTAATTATGATTTAAATTATATTTATGTTAATCAAAAGGTGATACTTTTACTGAAAAAAACTATTAAAAAATTAAGTATATTTGGTATCTAGTGTGTCTATGTCTGTCTGTATAGATACTATAATTTATATAGTTTTGGGTTGATTTAATTTGCAGGTATAATTTTGATATTGTGAAGGACGTGCCTTTGGAAGGACGTTATGAGTGGGTTCAGTGGAAGCAGTAAAATTACCACTTTTGGCTATTCTTGAAGGAAGAATGGTGATAATTACCCCTTTTGGGTATTGTTAGATGCAGTTAAAATTTCCACTTGCTGACACTACTCTTAGGTTCATTTTACTTTAGATAGTAATTGATTTGATATCAATTCAGAGAGTTCTATCTATCTATCTTTCATGTTATTCAAGTACTCTTTTGTTGGTTGTTGTGTAATGTGTACAGCTTTGTTTTTCTTCAAGAGCTAGTAATTATAAAATTCTGGTTCTGTTCTGGTTGTTTATTATTACTATCTGTGTGTACCTTTTATTACTATTGTGTCCAGAGCATAATTCAGTAAATTCTCTTGCTTGTAATATATGGGTGTAAAACAAATTGGTTTGTGGTTAGCTATAACAAAATTCTAGTCACATTTTTCTTTTGTGCTGAACTAGACATTCTACCAACATTGGTGTCTGTCTCTGTTATTAATAATAGTAATAGCTTTAAAGTGAATGAGTGACTGTTTGCCTTCTTTATCTTTTTTTCCTTACCTTTCTTCTTTTCCCTTTTTCATGTCTTTATCTTTCTTTTCACTGCTTTAGTTTTTTTAGTGCTCTTGTCTTTTTCCTTATCTTAACGTACACCATTGAAAAACTTTGCCTTTTCTTCTGAGTCTTCCTGTCATGATTTATATGCATGTGTATATGTGGGTTTTAGTTTCAAATTTGGAGTATTATTATACACTATGAATATATTTTTTTGTAAGTTGCTGAGACATCATGTTTAAGGGATTAAACAGAACTTTTTTTACAGTCTCTCAGTTTTACTATACATTTCTAAATACAACAAAATTTTAGTTCAGATTATTGTGCTAAAACTATAATTTATTGATTTATTCAATGACCGTTTTACTTAGTATTAGTGTGAAAACTCAAATTCTGAAACTGTGTTTTATGGAATCTACACTATTCACCGGTTGAATGCTGCAGCTCCTGCACAGCAGTATCTTAGCCAGTTTTGGGAGGTTGGGAAAGGATGGATGCCTAGTTGTGTATTACTTGTGCTTTTGATTTGATATGTAATTGCATCAAACTGAGAACAAAAAACTAGCCTCTAAAACTCTATTAAAGTGAGATTTTAATCCTCTGCGGTGGTTAATAGTACTGCCGTAGTGAAAACATTTGCGTCCTTGAAACTCGAGGTTTTTGCAGTGGCTGCTGTGGAAGTAAAGATCCAAACTAGGGAAGTACATAGAGTACTTACCTATGTTTAATCATATATTCCTACACTGTCTGTTTTCAACATTCAAGTTAGTATGACATTAAAACGAGCGAATGAGAATTGAATTCAAAATATACTTGAGAAATATAACACTACATATTACACCCAACATCAAAGGAAAAAGGCGCCTTAAACCTACTAGCAGTAAGGGATATGATCAAGATATGTCACGAAGAATGACAAAAGTAAAAAAGATAACCCAAATTAACCTTCATTTCCTTTGAAAAATTCACCCTTCATGATTTTTCACTAAAGATCAACCTAGACCAAAGGGAAACTTAAGATGTGACTGGAAGCCAAAACCCGAATACAATATGGTAAATCATAGGTTTAGTCCACTCCATACATTAGAATGAGATAAAGGGTCGATCATGGAGTTATAGGAGCTAAAAGGATCCAAGACACAAGGGTGTAGGAAAGGAGGATGTAAGATCCCAACCCACGCCCAGACTACGCCAGACTAGGCTTAAGGGGAAAATGTTCTTACTCGGTCTAAATCTCATATCTCGATCCAAAAATGGATGGGGCCCAACAGAAAAATGATGTTAGGGGAAGAAATATCACTCTCTCAACTATTATTCAAAGTAATGTTCTAGAACATTGGAAACAAGCATGTACCCTTCTTAAAAAAGCACTTGATCGAGCCAAGTGATTGGAGCAGGGCCGTCAGATGACAAAATGAATATTATAACATATGTTTATCTTGATGGTAATGATTGGACCAAAGATTATAGGTCTCTGTAAACCCTCGTAAAACCCTATACAAGGAACCACAAACGTCAAATCAAAGTTGATGCAAATTTCCTAAACTTTATACCTCTCATATCCGATTGTCACTGATTTGGGTGACAAGGTTTACATGTATCAACCTCAATCCACTCAAAACAACAAGACACAAAAGATCTTCAAGCCTGATATTTCCTAGACTTGACCATATTCATCATAAAGAAAACGCTTCTTAATCGGAAGAAACAATAGTTTTTTTAATCAAATTATAGAATGTGAATTCAAAAAGAGTTGTCTGGACTGTAGAATCCAAAAATTGTGAATTTAAACATACAAAAAAGTAAAGGGAAGAGGAAAATTTTGTATATTATAGGAGTTGTTTGGAGTCTAAATTTTAGAATGAGTTTTTAACTATGCATATTGTAAAATCTGATTGTATTTTTTAGTTCAAAATTTATGAGAAGTTTAAGGAGTGGGAAAAGAATTTATGATTAGGAGAAAAATATCAGGAATTGGCTATCCCACCCTAAGTGATGAAAAAGCACCCTATAGAAATCCGAAAATGCCTTTCTGATTCCAGAAATGCATTTTTGGACGCTCCTTAACACTCACCAAAACACGCCCCAACTGAGTCTCGTCACATATTTTTTCTCTCCAAAATTTAGTCTGGAGACGCATCTCCAAACCCACCCCATATACACCTCATGCATTTCTCAATTAAAGGCCCTAGTTTTAACATAAGTAAATTGGAGATGCATCTTCGTATTTACACCAGACAGAATCCGGAGATGCATTTTTGTATTCACACCAGATAATAATTTATGACTTTATTTTAGAGATGCACTTAATAAATTGATGATGTATTATAATTATACTTTTGTATTCAATTTTATATAAATTGAACCATACACTTTCAGATAAATATGAAAATGACATATATAAATTAATAGTTCTCCATAATACAGAATGAAGTCAAAATTAAATACAACCAATAATATTGCTCCTAATACAAATACTATATGAAGGGGCGAGAAACACAAGAAATGGGGGTTTGAATTGGGTTTCACCAAATATAATATGTTTTCTAAATTCAAACTTCAATGCTAATAAGAGAATAAAAATAAATAGACACGATTATTTTTATCTTGGTTCACTGTTAACAAAGTTACTCCAGTCCACCTACCAATGTGATTTCCCCTTAGAAAAGGACTTAATCCAATAATCTAGAAAGATTACAACCTCTAAGTGTTAGAAAACAACTTAGCCCTCTCAAGTATACAAACTAACAACTTCATCACTTGAGGAATAACCACTTTGAAAAGTGTTACAAATGTGTGTACAAAGAATTGCTTCTACACAAGTAGATTACACAAGTTTAAGCACAATAACACATTAGTGTTTCTAGCAAGATATGAAAAGTTGTTCCTTGCTAATATACAGAACTATCTTAAGAATAATCTCCAAGAGATTTACATCGTATCTGCATGAGTTTTGTTGCTTAAAAGCTTCTTTTAATGCTTCTATCTTTTTCTTGTAGAGCAGTGCTCTATCTTTTGTTTGAGCAACAAGCATATTATTTTTAAGCTTACAACTTGGTGTTTTGTTTCCGCTTTGCACATATACTCTCGTGTTTTCTTCAGCTCTCTCTACTCTTCTTTTGGATGAGCAAAAAGCCTTAGTTTTGTTAAGCATAGTCTGCTGATCATCTTTTCTTATTCATATCTCCTCATTTTCTTCAAGCATTCAGATCTTCAATATATAGAGCTTGAGAATAGATTCGTTGGAGGGTATAGATGGAAACATATTCCACAGTAAGTTCCCAACGGTCACTAGAATGAATGGTATACGTCATAGTACAAAAATTTTGTCCTTGCGCCACCTTATCGAGGTAGAGGTCACAATGTACTTTGTACTTTTATATTCAGCATATTATCCAACCATTCTTGATCTTCTGCCTTCTAGTTCTTCAAAGGCCTAAGATGTATATTTGATGAAGCATGTTATAGAAGGATCAATACTTATAACTTCAGAACCTAAGTCTTCAGAGTCTCAGATCTTCATTCAGCAGAACCTTATCTTAAGAGTCTTCAGCACTTGGTATTTAGAAATGATGTCTTCCGAAACTTCAAAGCTTGTTCAATTAGAAACTCGCCTTCAGAATCCTCAGAACTTTTTTAGCACATACTTGTCTTTAGAGTCTTCAGAACTTCTTCAACATAACTTTGTCTTCAGAATCTTCAGAACTTTGTTGCAATAGAAATGATATCTTTAGAATATTCAGAACTCGTTCAGCAAAACCTCGTCTTCAGAAATTTCAGAACTTAAATCATTTAAAGTACATCCTTAGAGAGCTTTTCAGAGCTTATTTACAAAGTTACGATCAGAAGCTCTATTACTAACGTTCTTCAAAACCGTTGCATTAGGAGCATTCCTGAAACTTGACTTTAACAAGGAACGCCTTATGTTTTCTTCCAGAGTGTTTAGATCAGAGTATGATGACATCACATGCCTTTCTATCAGAGTCAGATCCTGTTTTAGCAAAAGCTACACACTAGACAGAAACCATTGAGTACCGAATTATTCTCTAAGATGACATGTGCAGTTATCATCAAAACTTAAGGTCAGATGCAGAACCAATCTTGTCCTTAAAATCTCCCCCTTTTTGATGATGATAAACCATGTATTTTGATAGAGCAATTCATACATGGTAATAACTATAAACCAAAAAGTCAGAGTTAAGCTAACCAGCTCCCCCTGAATCTGTTACTCTCAAAATTCATTTATGCTTGTTCAGAGTCTCTCCCTGATCCCAAGACTCACAAAATAATTTTGAAGTATAGAGCATAAGAGCAGAGAAGGAATACTTCTCAGTGACGTCTGATCGGAGTCTGACTAGAACTGCCTAGTCTTTATTTTAGAATCTGGCTTGCTATCAGAACACGATGATGTACCAGAACCTGATTAGTAACTTGCATGATGTATAATATCATGTATCCGAACTTAATTCTTCCAATATCTTGG